TCCTCGGGTTTTCTTTCATCTACGAGCTCTTTGATCAATTTCAACGTTTGGATAAATTCCAAATCAATGTTTATTCGAAGATGACAGAAATGGCTATATAATAATAATAATTCTAATTTCATATAATTAATAAATCAACATTGTATAATATAGATTCTAAGTAAAGGACTAATATATTTAAACACATCTAATTGAAGAGGTCCTATTTTTTCGATTAAACCAGATTTCAGTGCTTAAATATTTCTGTATAAATATATATACATATCTGATTTTGCAATCAGCGCGCTGAAATATTTCAACACATTTGAATAATTGACGAGATTCTCGCGAACTCAACATACCGAAGACAATTCAGTCTCTTCTTAATGCTAGTTCTTCTGATCAATTTTAATATTTGAAATTGTTTAAATTTTCTTTTTTTCTACGATAAGTGATCAATTTCAAAGTTGTTTTTTCTACGATAAATGATCAATTTCAAGAATGATTTAGGAATTTGCAATTAATCAATGTATATTTACAGATAACAAGAATAATCAGATAATAATCATTCTAAAATATATTCGACATAATTAATAAACACACACAGCGTATGAGAGTTTTAAATAAAGAATTAAAATATTTAAACACATTTGAAATATTGACAAAATTCTCGTGAATTTAATCCTATCTCAGTACTTGTTTTTCCAATCAATTTTAAAATTGCTCAGATTTCTCGAATTTTCTTTCATCTACAACTCTTTGATTAATTTCAATTTTAATTTAGGAAAATTCGAAATTAATCAATATATATTCACAGGAGACAAAAATAATCATACAATAATTCTGAAATATATTCCACATAATAAATAAATCAACAGCGTTATACACTGTTAAATCTATAGCGTCAAATTTAACCTAATTTAAATCGCCGGCTGATCTTACTCAATATATATATATCGTTATTTTATACTAAAACAATGAAAGGACAAATTTGACACTATATGTTTATCCATTAATTGTTTTAGTATAAACTAACGATATATTGAGTAAGCGTAATGGCATCTTAAATTAGATTAAATTCACTCTATAGATATTTGAACAGTGTACAGTTCTAAATAAAGGATTAATATATTTAAACATATATTGATAAAATTCTCGTGAGCTCAACATGCCAAAAGTAATTTAGTTCTTTCTCGAGGAGTTAATAACGAATTACTCCGTAAAATTCCTCTCAATTGCAGATTTAATTTAATCTCCTTACATTCCCTCGAAAGTCCAGGTGGGCGCGAGTGTTTTTGCACCCTTCCTCGCGGCGCTCACGAGCACGCTTCACGATCAATCTTGTTTCGAGGCGGTGGAGTGGCCTCTTTATCGTGTCGGCATGGGGGAAAAATTGGAATCACGAGAAACGCCACGCCACGCCACGCCACGCCACGCCACGCCACGCCACGCCACGCCACGCCACGCCAGGCCAGGCCAGGCCAGGCCGAAGCAGCGCAGCGGAATAAGACGAGGGAGATGCGACGATGCGATACGCGCCTCGATCCGACTGCTATTATTTGTTCCAGCCGCGTCGAGCGGAGCGGAGCGGAGCGGAGCCACGCCACGCCGACGAGGAGAGTCGATCATTCTCAATTAACGCTCTCCCTTCGCGACCGCCGTTAAATTATACCCGTCTCGTACCTTCTGTCTGCCTTCCGCGTGGGCGTCGCGTGTTTATTAATCTCCACGCGTTGCGCTGTGCGTTAATTGTCCGTAAATGAGACAGAGAGACGCGTCCGTTGGCGCTCGATGAACTCAATGGCTACTACGATTCGGCATAAATTCATAATTGATGGGGGGGCTTATTTCCGCAACGAGGCGTATCCTTTATGTTCATGAATCAAAACTATGTTTAGATGGCGTCGGAACGTTTGAATCACGTTTTCATTTCATAACGTAGCTTTTACAAATTTATTCTTAGACCTTTATGCCTTTATATTATCAAAAGCGATGATATAGTTGTTGAAAAATTAAACGGATATTATATTATATCTTTAGTTTGTATGACAATGAATATATATAGAAATAAGTTCTATAGACCTAAAATAATTTTGTTTAATGCGATTTCCTTCTTTCTATTAATTTATTATTTTATATATCTGCAGGCTTTTATTTTATTAATTTACTATTTCTGCACAATTAATATATTTACTTAATTCAATACACAGTTAGATATTCAATTCTGAAACAATTCAATAAGCCGACTCTTTCTCTCATAACTTCCCTGTTTTCTATTCATGATACTTTGCACCAATTTACGGAATGGATGGTAAATCATAATAACGGTAGTTGGTTCATATTCTAGCTTCTCATATTCTAGCATCTCTGGACTTCGCTACTGTACCGTAATGCAATGAGGATGCATTAAAGGCAGCGGCGCATATTCAAATCACGTCGCGGTCGATAAATATGTAGTGAGCTCGTACGATCCGACAGTAAAATGCATTACTCCATGTAGTTGATTCGCATTGCCAGATAAAGGTGATAAAGCGAATACTAAGTATAAATTATACAAGAAGAATCGTAGATAGCGCGCATTCGTCAAGTTGATAATCGCCTCTTCGTTACGTAATACTCTTTTCTGGTCACGACTTGCCAAAGACGGATTATTGTTTAGAATGATTTTTAAATGTCCAAAATATCTAATTTTGTAGCATAAAAATTTTCCAAATAATTGTACTAGATTATAGAGAACTTTATGATATCGTATTTATTTTTCATAATTTTTAACCGTTATAAAAATTTCAAAATTAAATTTACAAAATCACAAAATCACACACGTGATTTACAAAAATTATTCTAATCTTTAATATCACTTTCCATTGGCGATTAAAAACGTTACGTGTTTGGGCTAAAATACTCTACTTTTTTCTACAGTTCAAATTTTATTATTTTACATGGACTTTTCTCTTTTCGGAACTAACAGAAAGAAAAAATAAATACGGTGTCACGTTATGTTATTTATAAATTTAACTGTCGGGCCTTTCATTTCTTTTGTTAAATATTTTTTTACGCAAAGGGAATTATAAATCGCACGGATTTATAAATCGCACACCGGATACTTGATATCGATGTTATAGTTAACCGCACGTTCGTATTTTATCGTACATGTCGCGGTTTATTATCGATAAAGAATAAAAGAAGAAAACTCCCGATTTGTACTGGCAATTATAATTTTTCCAGGTATTTTGGTCGATGCGCAAACTACTGCCTATTCGATGATGAGATAAAATCGATGAAGACCTTCGACTCGCTTGATATAACTTGATATAAATCACGGGAGCGACTCCAGATGTTGCTTGCACCTTAATGGCCCTCGACTCGCTTGTAATAACCTTGCTCGGGTATAACTGGAAATAAATTGTTCGGAAGCGATCGTTCTCCTTCGAAGATCGATGCGTTCGTCGAATGCAACAGACGTTGTGCTTTAATTTCGAGGACAGGTACAAAATAACACAAGAAATATGCAGATCGATAATCATTTTTTACGTTTTCTTGCGAGATACTTTGAAAAACCTATATATCAATTTACTAAAGATTGCAGTAATATATTCTTTAAAATCTTTGGAGTAAAATGTAACTCTACAGTATACTCTTAAAAATAAATAATTGTGTCCCTCTTTTTCAGTACTGGCTTAATTGTCATTCTTTATCATTCTTTAGACTCAGATTCCATTCTAAAGATTTCAAAAGGTAATAATCTCTGAATATACGTTATTTGAATGTACGTTACACATATACATGTATACTTCATATATATATATATATATATATATGCTCCAAAAATATTCACATGTTCTCGTTGTACTTTAATTAAATGCCAAAACTTTAAAATACGCGACAATTGCGTTTCTTGGCGAAGTCGACTAAAACGCTGAAAGTCAAGCTAAAATACAGGACAATCCATGTATATACAGGACATCTGGCAACTCTATCTCGTAGCGCCTTCCTTGCGCGCTGCACTCGACGAAGGTTTCCTACCGCGTAGAAGCCATTAAAGATCTTACCGTGCAACGTAGTTGGAAGAATGAAAATTGCCATGGTACAGAAAAGAGGGAAAGAAGCTCCCGTTGAGAGAACTTTTAAGCGTTCACTTCTTTCGCGAATCGCGACGAGGTCCTGTTAAATCGCTCCATTGTATAGCGGAACCATCGACACGAATAATATCGGAGCATCGATTACATAAATTATTTCTTATAAAGTATTGCTTGGCAAGGAATTTTATCTTCACATGTGAATTCAAAAATAGATTCTCATAAGAATGTTGATAAATTTAAATAATGCTAGTTAAATAAAAGCAGAGAGAGAGAGAGAGAGAGAGAGAGAGAGAGAGAGAGAATATATTTTTATATTTTTTTATCATTTCTAGTCTTAACAGATAAGAAAGTAATAGATAAGCATTTTTTTAATAATTCAGACTTCTTTCTTAAAGATTATTTATTAATTATGATTACTCGTAAAAATTAAAAATTAATAAAAAATTAATTGTAGTTATTTTCATAAATAAAAATCAAGCATTTCAATTAGTAGAAAACCAATAGCAAATAATTCAAAAGTCAATTATCACAGTTAATCGAGAAGTGCAAGTAATATTCCATTGGAGAGAGAGAGAGAGAGAGAGAGAGAGAGAGAGAGAAGAGGAGAGAAAGAGAGAGATCAATTATTTTATGAAAGTTTTGAAGTAGAAATTAACTCTAAAAAATGAAATCTCACTCTTAAAAATTGACAAGTAAGCCACTTTTTTCCAACACAAGCTCATTTATCTTTAGATTCTACTCCAAAGATTTTAGAGAGTAAATAACACAGTGTTCATGTTAAAGAATAATATCTTCGAAATTATTTATTTCGGAGACATATTCCATGACGGGATGGAAAAATAATGTACGTAAGTATTTCCTTCGCGATATTTAAAGAAATTTAACAGGAATAATTTAAGATTACATATAATTTTAAATATGCAGCCGAAAATGTTTACTTACCTTAAACTCGAGACTTAATTTCCTTGCCTTTGGTTGAGGAAATGACGGTGCGCTATCCTTTGACATTCTGAATCTGATCTTTAAATGAAGAAGCTTCATCCTTTTCTCTCCGGAGATTGTTTCATCTTTGTTAATCAATATCTCATCTGTGAACATAAAATTCGAAATTCATATTAAGATAGTTAATATATCTTTTCCACAAATTTTTTTACTTTCCACTATGGAAAATAAAACATTTCAAACTATACTTCTCCAATTTTACAAATTTCTTTTCTTTAATTTAAAGCAGCGTTTAATTTTTCAATTAATCTTTAATCTTAAACTTTATTTAAAGTCTAAAACACAAAATTAATAATAAATATTTCGAGCCCGACAATTAAAGTTGATGACACAATCCTGGATTTTGAAGTTTGGACTGAGAGCTCTATATATCAACAAGCGATGGAAACAACTTTGTAACTGCTCGTCGGCTGTCCACAAGCTGTTTGCGAACTTTAGCACGAATAAATTGGGAATACAAGTCGCGACCAGTTTGCGCCTCACGTATTGTGCACAAAGTGTTCGCAAACTTCAGTTGTAGCCATATTTGGAAGACAGCATGATCAGGCAGTGGTACGAGAACGTTCATATAAACTTGTTACCATGACTTGCTACCTGGCATATGAATTTATTCGCGAGACATGCGAGCGCGCATGTCACATGATTAATAATTGTGTGCCTTTATTCTATCTGTGGTAATTCGAGTCAGAGATAAAATTTAACGATCGTCTTTCACATAAAGTGTAATTAGCTACGAAGTTACATCAAAATAATTTTCCAACTTGTAAATTTAGAATATAAAGATAATTCAAACTAGCATTTATAGAATATCGTCAAACATGACGAGAATAGTAAACAAAGTATTTAAAATACTTATTATATTTTAACTTTATTGAATATATAAACAAAAATATCGCCAAATAGAAATGCACTACAAATTTAAGTATATAAAAATACAGCGGTTCATATCCCGCATGATGTGAATCATAAACTTGATTATAATAGTGTACATGGTGTTGTGAATCGTCCTTCCTGGCATTTTCGCGGCAACTTACAACGTCATGAACGTCGAGCGAGCTTTAATTACGACGATGGAATCCAAGCGAAATACAGTCGCCGTTTGTGAGGTCGTAGCTTCTCGGAAATCGGCCACTATTTGCCGCCAAATTACTTTCGTACGTGATACCTGAATATATACGCGATACTCACACACATATTTGTCCTATCGCACACCGACGCGACCTGCGGTAGCGTAGGATGTAGAAATTGTACGACAAGCAGAAATGCCGTTCCGAGCGTAAAACACAAAGCTGCATCCGGCAATGGAAACTCGTCGAAGAATACTTCTCCGTCTTTTTATGGCGGTATTTATGAGCATACCGGAATACTAGTGAAACGTCTCTAAAATGACTTCTTTTATTCGCAAGCTAAATATTCTTTAAGCTTAACGAGATTTTTCCAGCAAATAGAAATTTAAACTTCGACATAAATCGTTCATTCGTATGTCTTGCAATATTTCATCACGGAAAGACAAATGCGATATGCGTGTATTGTGTTCAGTGTTTTAAAAACTAAATGTGCAATTTTTTTCGACGAGAGAAAACAAAGGATATTTTAATCTCGCATTGCAGATGTACTTTCATTAACGCTAATTCGTTGTTCATTATATTATATCAAAAAAAGAGAATAAATTTTTATTAAATTTTTTTATAAAACTAAATGCCAGAAATTAATAGATTACATATAGATAAATATATAGATAAATATAGATAAATATGTTATTTTTGTTTATTACTAAACCAAATTTAAATCTATTAAAATTTCTATCTAAAATTTCAATACTTTCAAAATTATAAGTATAATTTTCAATGAATAAATACATATATAGAAAAATACCATTCTATTGCTAAAAAAAATGTTTACTTTTTCTTTTAAATAACAGTTATCTTTAACAAAGAATATTCTTTTGATAATAGTCTTAAAATGTACTCATTACAAATTTCAGAAAGACTCATTATATTTATTCATTACATTATCATGTACTTAAAACAAGAATTTATTTTCTTTTGAATAATATTATAAAATATCATCAAAGAAAAACTTTATATAATAAAATTGAATTTTAATTTAATAACCTTGATTGAAGTATTAAACTTATTAAAATTCAGAATATATTTTAAATAAATTAAATTGTCATAAACTTATGATAGATTTGTGGATACATGAACTATTGAAATACTGGAAACGAATAATTAATATACTGGATACAACAAACAAATAATAAATATTTAAATATATGTATTTTCCTGTGTGGAAACTCACTGATATATATCGATTAGGAATAAGGCATTAGCTCTAATAGTGAGCTCTGCCTCAGAAATTCAATCTATTCTCTCACGTGCACAGTCACTTTGCTGTCGCTGCGCGAGAACGATTGATTTTTGTTGCGAACGAGCCTTCGAGTAATTACGTACCGTTGACGTTTAATGGGAACGACATTATTGGATTCTCGTTACTACGACATTTATTTCCCGGCCACGTGTTATAACTGCGCCTGCAAAACGTCCTTTTTTCATGCGAACTTGTCATTGAAGTCCAACGCTGGGAAACGAATGCCTTTGCACGTGTAAATCGCGACACTTCAAACTTGTTTAGCCATTTGCGAGTCCATGCAATTATTTCATTTTTTTAAACTAAATTTGCAAGCGCGCAATTTTTGCACTTTATATTTTTTATTTATTGTTAGAATTAATAATAACAATCTTTATTTTAAAATGCAAAATAACGAAGGAAGCATGCATTAATGTACAATAAAAAATAAAGTAGGTGAAAAGACTTCAACAGGTAGCAGCATAATATCTTGTCTAACAATAAAAAGCCTTGAAGCTTAAGCCTATGTTACAAGACAAATAAAAATAATATAGCGCGCGCGCGCGCACGCA